GAATCAAATAATAACCAACACAAATACATATACACATAATCAGATTCATAACAAAGAACTGCACGATCAGGGCTTCAGTGGGCGTCATGGCGAAGTTATGTGTCAGGCCTTCACTTCTCGGTGATGTTATCCTTCCTGGGGCTTCTCTTTGCCACGCACTCTGAGTTCCGGATCTGTAAACAAAACTCTCAAAAAATAAAGTTAACGTATCTCAAAGACATTTATAAAATCTACACGGAACTATACTATCATTTCTAAAACATATAATACAAGTGTTTGCTACTCTATTCTATCCTCTCTTATACACTCAACTAGACGGTTAGTTAAGCTCAAACTCTGCGGACATGAGTCCCAGCCATGAGACCATAGCCCCGTCAGACTCCATTTCAGATTCCCTGTATAGCTGCTGTAACTCTGTCCAAGCACGAATACGACTGATGGCAGCATCTCGTGCATCAGTCACTGGGTTGATCGTTGCTACAGGACGAGCTGCTTTTTTAGGAGTCGATGTTGTTACAGGCTAGACTACTACTGCCGGAGTCGTTGCTGCTGTTACTGTTTCAGGCAGGAGGGGCGGATGCACTCCTCCGCTCGATTCTCCCTTTCGTCGGCAGGAAGGCGTGGTTGGTAGAGGAGGCACTGCGTTGCTGGGCGGGGCTGCTGGAGACGACACTGCACCGATGGGCGGAGTCGCTGGCCGAACTCTCACGGGTTCCTCCGAAGCTCCACCCCTCTCTTCCGGCCTCTCCACGCGGCTCTCCTTCGGCTTGGCGCCATCTTGGGCTGGCGTCCCAGGATCTCTTTTCTCAGCTGCTTCTTTGACCGCTTGAACGGCCATACGCAGCTGGGCTGTTAAACTTAAATTCTTTATCATTAAATCAGTAATAGTACGGAGAGTTGTACTATTCTTCCCCCTTGTTGTACCGCGGGCCCACTCTCTCATCTGCGGCGCGCTCCTCCGTCTCCAGATCTTCGCGGAGCTCGGATGGAAGCTCGCGCCCCCTTAATCTAAGCCGCCATGAGGGGAGGGAACCGGCCGATCGGCTCCGGTTCTTCACTCTCCCGAGCATATCTTAGGCATCGGGCACACTCCCGGGTGAAGGTTGGGTTCATTTCGCCCGCCGGGTCGGGTCCGGCGAGGGACACAGCATCGAGGGGCCTGAACAGGAACCGCCCGTCGCTCATAACACACCCGAACGCTGCAGGGAGCAAATACACCTCTCTCTCTCTTGGGGCTCCATCTTCGGAGGCTCCCTCTTTTCCCTTCAGCCAAAGGCGCCCGCTGACAAACCTCTCACCCGTTCCGCCTGCCTGGTGGTAAGCGATATGTGCCTCCAGTTCCATAAAGCATTTTACTTAGCGTTTTCCACTGTGCCAAGGGCAGTTCTTAACTAATTCCAGTTCTAGCGAGCCCTCTCCTGATCCCATCGTCGTCGCCATGTGCGGGCCGGGAGCGACCCAAGCCCTTTTCGCGCTGAACGCGGGCTGTGGCCAGAAGTCA